GGTACAGTCTGGGCCCTTAGTGTCGGCCTTCCTTCAGAAGTGCCTAATAATAAAACCACACATTAGTACTTGCCCTAGCTTACATGAGGAGATGGGGATCTAGGATTTCAAGCTGCGTGAGAGCTGATGATATCTCAAGAAACTTAAGTTTACAAAGTTCACAACACGGGTTCAACCTTACCACCTGCAAACTAGTTAAAGAAATAACCACAAACACGAAGCTGGCCAGTATCTAAAACAGTTGAGCTAAAATACGATGGAACAGGCCACGGGGTGAGATAACTCCAGTCTGTAAACGGGAAGGATTGCTGTTGCCAACAGTATAAAACAGTGGGCGGGTAGGAAAGCAACAGTTGGCGCAGACAAATTAGATTATTTTTCGCTGAAGAACTTACTTTGAACACTCTTTCAAATTCCTTGAGGTCATGAGCAGTTTTTGAAACTATGTTGATAGTTTTCCGAGTGATTCCTATTCCGGCACAGTTGATGAGGGCGTTGACTGACGAAAACCGTTTCTTTGTCAATTCTAGGGCAGAAGTAATATCTTCCTCTGATGTAACCTTTGAAGATGAACGTAAATCAAAAACAAACATCGCATCGGGTGAATATAAAGTTTTCTCCCAGGTCCTTTAATTCGTCTGAGTTTACTATATCGAGAGCGACAACTCTATAACCGCTGGCCAGTAATTTTTTGCAAGTTGCCAAACCCAGACCAGATGCACCTCCAGTGACCAAAGCAGTAAGTGGCTAGATGCTAATATGAAAACTGTTCAGGCTTACTTTTAATGAAGACAACGAACGAAGTGATAAACGCATCCTAGAGCCCACGTTAAGTGTTAAAACGCCCACTAAATGCAATTGAGCGCGTCAACTATCATTGACCAATGCACTCGTGAAGGTCAAAAGTGTGAAGTGCAACTAGGAATTAACCGAAATTAAAAATGGAACGAGGAAAGAGCAGGCAGCAAGCGCAACATATATATATATAGATTGTTCCGCGCAGTTATAAAATATAATTAAAAAATACTGGGTGCATACTCTAAATGAAGTCTTAGAACGAAGCGCGTCGTTTAACGTAAAGTACCCTAATCATAGCAATTAGATTGCAAACGAGAGTCTTTCCTTTTAAGTTACCCTAAATTTTCCTAAGGTTCCAGTCGCTTTTCAGATAAGGCGTTTGTCTAATATATCCGATTAATCGAGTTCTATCCGCCAGTTTTCGAGCTAGTGTCACAAACCCGTTCTCAAACGAAATGGAAACAAAATAAATTGAGGTGATCGAGTAAAACCAGATGATACGACAGGATATAGATCACAAGCGTGTGAATGGGATAGTCGCAGAGTCACTGCAGGTTTCTGGGCAGGGGAGAGGAGGGGAGGCAAAACAACTGCAGCTCGCTCTGCCGGTGTATACATATACAGGGTATAATATGTTTATTATGCCAGTTTACAGGCAATTGTAAAGAGTTGGTAG